AGTGAGGTTTGTAGTCTCTGGCCCCTAGACTGTGCTCCGTCTGCAGTCTTCTTTGCTCTTCCCCAATCTTCATGACTTTGCACTTAGTAGGGTTGAACTCCAGGAGCCAGTTTCTGGACCAGGCCTGCAGCCTGTCCCGATCCCTTTGTAGTTCTGCGTGGTCCTCGTCCGATTGAATTATTCTCATCAACTTCATATCATCTGCAAACAAGGACACTTCTGAGTCTATTCCTTCTGTAATGTCGTTCACAAATACCAGAAACAGCACCGGCCCTATGACTGACCCCTGTTTCACCCCGTTCGTTACAGGCGCCCACTCTGACACTTGGTCACGTACCATGATTTGCTGATGTCTTCCCGACAGGTATTCCCTGATCCATTGGAGAACCTTCCCTATTATCCCTGCCTGGTCCTCCAGCTTATGTACTAATCTCTTGTGTGGAACTGTCTCAAAAGCCTTCTTACAGTCCAAGGAAATGCAATCTACCCACCCCTCTCTCTGTCGTCTTACTGCTGTCACCCTGTCACAGAACTCCAGTAGGTTTGTGACAGGATTTCCCGTCCCTGAAATCATGCTGGGTGTCGTTGATAAGCTCTTTCCTTTCTAGGTGCTCCACCACTCTTCTCCTGATAATCTCCATGACTTTGCATACTATACATGTCAGTGACACTGGTCTGTAGTTTAATGCTTCCTGTCTGCATTTGCTGTCTTCCATACCTCAGATAGTGGCTCTTTTTCGATAGATGTGTTGAAGATTGTTGTTAGTGGCACACATAGTGCCTCTGCTCCCTCTCTCAGGACCCATGGAGAGATGTTATCCGGCCCCATCGCCTTTGAGGTATCTAGCTCGCTTAGCAGCCTCTTCACTGCTTCCTCGGTTGTATGTATTGCGTCCAACACTTGATGGTGTACCCCACCTCTCCGTCTTTCTGGAGTCCCTTCTATCTCCTCTGTGAACACTTTTTTGAATCTCATGTTGAGCTCTTCACATACTTCACGGTCGTTTCTTGTTATCTCCCTTCCTTCCTTCTTCAGCCTGATTACCTGGGCCTTAATTGTTGTTTTCTTCTTGATGTGGCTGTACAACAGCTTCGGGTCAGATTTGGCTTTCGTTGCTATGTCATTTTCGTACTTTCGTTGGGCCTCCCATCTTACCTGCACACATTCTTTTCCGGCTCTACGACTGTTCTTATTTTCCTGGGTCCCTTGACTTCTATACTTCTTCTATTCTCTAGCACACTTGATTTTGGCCTCTCTACACCTTTGAGTGAACCAAGGGCTCATCCTGGCCTTCTCCTCACCTTCCTTGCATATTGTTATCACATATTCCATCATCTCATTTACTGACTTCCCTGCCACTGCTCTGTCCCACTGAACCTCATGCAGGAAATTCTTCATGCATGTGTAGTCCCCACTCTTGAAGTTTGGCTTCAGTCGTCCTGCCCTTCTTGCTACCCTCTCAGAACCAAGTGGTCATTGGCCCCAAGGGGTCTTTCACATGTGATGTCCTCAACATCTGCACTATTCAAGGTGAATTCTAGGTCCAGTCTTGCTGGTTCGTCCTCTCCTCTCTCTCTCTCTCTCTCTCTCTCTCTCTCTCTCTCTTCTCTCTCTCTCTCTCTCTCTCTCTCTCTCTCTCTCTCTCTCTCTCTCTGTGGTGGTGATAGTCTGTGTGTGGTGGTGATGGTCTGTGTGTGGTGATGATAGTCTGTGTTGTGTGGCAGTGATAGTCTGTGTGTGGTGTGATAGTCTGTGTGTTGTGTGGTGGTGATTGTCTGTGTGTGGTGGTGATAGTCTGTGTGTTGTGTGGTGGTGATGGTCTGTGTGTGGTTGTCATCTGTCCTCTCCACCTTGAACGGTGTTCCGGGGGTAAAAACCCCAGCCGCTCGGCCCATGACCAGGCCTCGTGGTGGATCAGGGCCTGATTAGGCTGTTACTGCTGGCCCCACGTAAACCGACGTACGAACCACGGTCCGGCTGGTGAGGTACCGACTTTAGGTGTCTGTCCAGCTTCCTCTTGAAAACAGCCGGGGTCTATTGGTAATTCCACTGATGCATGCTGGGACGTAGCTGAACAATCTTTCTGACCTCTGACACTTACTGTGTCTTTTAAAATACTCATGATGTGCCTACCTGGACGGTGCTCTGCGGGTCAACGCCGGCACGGCCCAGGCCTCCCAGTGGTTCAGGGCCTGATCAACCAGGTTGTTACTGCTGACCACATGTAGTCCAACGTACGAACCTCTGGCTTTAGGTATCTGTCCAGGGCCATCATGAAGGCAGCCAGAGGTTAATTGGTAATTCCCTTTATGCCTGGAGGGAGTGTGTTGAACAATGTTGGGCCCCAGACACTTAGTGTACTAATGGGATGGTAATCCTACTTGTCATTGGAGGGATACTGCACCGTCTGCCCGGTCTTTTGCTTTCGTAGGGAGTGATTTCTGCGTGCAGATTTGGAACCAGTCTTAGGATTTATCAGGTGTATCTCTCTCGCCTGCGCTCCAGTGAGTACAAGTCAAGTGAGTCCAAGCATTCCTAATAGTTAAGGTGTTTGACGGAACTTATATGTGCAGTGAAGGTTTTCTGTACATTCTATAGATCTACGATTTCACCTGCTTTGAATGAGATGTTTATGTACAGCAGTATTCCAGCCTAGAGGAAACAAGTGATTGGAAAAGGACATCATTGGCTTGGCATCCCTTGTTTTGAAGTTTCACATTAACTATCCTATCACTTTCCTAGCAGACGTGATAGTGGCACTGTTGTGCCACTATCACTACCACTCCCAGGTCCTTCACAGTACTTTTCCGCTCTATTGTGTGATTAGAGTTTGTAGTATACTCAGTTCTAGTTATTATTTCCTCCAGTTTTCCTTAACGGAGTAGCTGGAACTTTTCTTCACTGAACATCATATTGTTCTCCGTTGTCCATTGGAAAACTTCGTTTATATCTTCTTGGAGAGTTACCGTGTCCTCAATGGATAACAGTTTCATGCAGATTCTAGTATCATCTGCAAAGGATGACACGGTGCTATGGTTTACATCTCTGTGGAGGAACAGGAGGGGAGCGAGAACTGTGTCTTGAGGAGCAGAGTTTTTCACCGTAGCCGCCTCAGACTTCACTCTGTTCACTACTACTCTTTGTGTTCTCTTTGTTAGGAAATTATAGATCCATCTACCAACTTTTCTTGTTATTCCTTTATCGCGCATTTTGTGTGCTATTACGCCATGATCACACTTGTCGAAGGCTTTTACAGTCTGTGTATACACAAATGCGTTTAGTTTGTCTTCTAGAACATCCAGGACCTTGTCATACTGGTCCAGTAGTTGGGACAGACAGTAGTGGTGGTGATGGTCTGTGTGTTGTGATAATGGTCTGTGTGAGGTGATAATGGTCTGTGTGTGGTGATAATGGTCTGTATGTAGTGATAATGGTCTGTATGTGGTGGTGATGGTAGTAATGGTCGTGGTAGTAGTAGTAGTAGTAGTAGTAGTAGTAGTAGTAGTAGTAGTAGTAATAGTAGTAGTAACAGTAGTTGTAGTATCAGTAGTGGTGGTGGTAGTAGTGGTCGTGGTGGTGGTGGTAGTAGCAGTGATGGTGGTGGTAGAAGTAGTGGGTGGTGGTTGTAGCAGTGGTGGTGGCAGTAGTGGTGGTAGCAGTGGTGGTGGTGGTGGTAGTAGTAGTAGTAGTAGTAGTAGTAGTAGTAGTAACAGTTGTGGTGGTAGTAGTGGTGTTGGTGGTACTAGTAGTAGTAGTAGTAGCAGTGATGGTGGTGGTGGTAGTAATAGTGATGGTAATAGAGACAGTAGTAGTGGTAGTAATAGTAGTGGTGGTAGTAGTGACAGTACTAGTAGCAGTGAGAGTAGTAGTGGTAGCAGTGGTAGTAGTAGTGGTGGTTACAGTAGTAGTAGTACTACTAGAAATGACACTAGCAGTGGTGATGGTTGTAGTGGTAGTGGTGGTAGTAGCGATAGTAGTGGTAGTGGTGGTGGTGGTGGCAGTAATAGTAGTGGTAGCAGTGACAGTTGTAGTAGTAGTGTTGGTGGTAGTAATGACAGTAATAGTGGTAGCAAAGGTATTAGCAGTGGTAGTAGTAATAGTGGTAGCAGAGGTATTAGCAGTGGTAATAGTAATAGTGGTAGCAGAGGTATTAGCAGTGGTAGTAGTAATAGTGGTAGTAGAGGTATTAGCAGTGGTAGTAGTAATAGTGCTAGTGATGGTAGCAGTATTAGTAACAGTGGTAATGGTAGTAGTAGTGGTAATGGTGGTAGTAGTAGTAATGGTAATGGTAGTAGTGGTAATGGTAGTAGTAGTAGTGGTAGTGGTAGTAGTAGTAGTGATGGTAGTACTAGTAGTTGTGATGGTAGTACTAGTAGTAGTGATGGGAGTAGTAGTAGTAGCAGAGGTGACAGTAGTAGTAGTGTTGATAATGATGATAGTAGTAGTAGTAGCAGTGGTGACAGTAGTAATAGTGGTAGTAGTAGTAGTAGTAGTGCTACTTCAATCGCTACGACTTCATAATACTTCCCATATATTTGGTTCGTGTTCTTGTAGTGTTTTTTAAGTTTTAAAGACTCTGGGGAGAGAAATGATTCCATAATAAATGGCTGTTGTTCTGTCGTTCATTTACCTAACAGAGTTCATACAGACTTAAACTGATCTTACAGTGAACGAAATTTTTTATGGCAGTGGTAATTATTGTTGTGGACGTATTTGTGTATATACTGGTGGTGGTAGTAATGGTGGAAGTTGTGGTGGTATTAAGCAAGTTTATTTAGGTACAAGTACACATAAGTACAATTTTCATACATATTAACATATTGGTGGTTGTGGTGGTAGCTGGAAGCTGTGGTTGTGTTGGTAGTTGGTGATAATTGTGGTTGTGAGAGTGGTTAGGGTGGTGGTAATGGTGGCAGTGACGGCGGCAGTAGTGGTAGTGGTCCCTCTCCCTGTTCGTCAAGATCCAGTTCTAAGGTTGTCGTCATCTATTTGATCAGACTAACAAGATGAATCCTCCTCACTTCTCAGTTGCGTCTTGTCTCCCTCCTTGTGACTGTCGTGAAGGTGTTCCCAGTCTGCTGACCACTACTTCCCTTTCCTTAGTTACAGCCTCCTGTGTAGCCACCTCTTCTCCAGTGTCTGTTTTGCTAACATCAAGAGAACTGTACCACGTTCTTCAAGTCCATATCATCAGCAACCTCCCAAAGCATCAGTAATACCTCTGGCTCGTCGACCACAACTGTCGTCAGCATTTACGCTAGTGTTGCTGTGTCACAGTGGAAGCTGCGTCTCTTGCGCTGCTACCCTGGCAGTAATCACTCCAGCTGTTGCAGCTGTCGTCAGTAATAACGTCATCTGGAACAGTGGTTGTCGTGTCGTCACTGGAAGACCTAGTCAAGATGAAGGTGTCTGTGCGAGTTCGAGGAGAATGGCTGCAGGTGCCGTGTAAAACAGGCGAGTACTGCCCCTGTTAATCCCTAATTTATGAATTCAAATATTTTAAGACGAGTGATGTACAGGTGACACGCAGCCTTAATGACCCTCGAACAGTCGATGGGCTTCTAGTCTAACACCTTTCAGGGAGCAGGAAAGTGTTGTAGGTAATATATTAACTACGATTGTTAGGTAACACCTACCTGGAGTCTACCTGGAGGGCATTCCGGGGATCAACGTCCCCGCGGCCTGGTCCACGACCAGGCCTCCCGGTGGATCAGGGCCTGATCAACCAGGCTGTTACTGCTGGCCGCACGTAATCCAACGTACGAACCACAGCCCGGCTGATCCGGCACCGTCTTTAGGTATCTGTCCAGCTCCCTCTTGAAGACAACCAGGGGTCTTCCCGTAATGCCCCTTATTGCTGGTGGGAGGCTGTTGAACAGTCTTGGGCCCCGGACACTTATTGTGTTTTCCCTTAGTGTACCAGTGACGCCCCTACTTTTCACTGGGGGTATGTTGCATCGCCTGCCAAGCCTTTTGCTTTCGTATGGAGTGATTGCTGTGTGCATATTAGGGACCAGTCCCTCCAGAATCTTCCAGATGTAGATTATGATATATCTCTCTCGCCTGCGCTCTAGTGAGTACAAGTCAAGTGCTTCCAGGCGCTCCCAGTAGTTAAGGTGTTTGATGGAACTTATACGTGCAGTAAAGGTTCTCTTTACATTCTCTAGCTCTGCAATTTCACCTGCCTTGAATGGGGATGTTAATGTACAGCAGTATTCCAGCCTAGAAAGAATAAGTGATTTAAAAAGGATCATCATTGGCTTAGCATCTCTTGTCTTGAATGTTCTCATTATCCATCCTATCAGTTTCCTAGCAGATGTGATAGTGGCGTTGTTGTGGTCCTTGAAGGTGAGGTTTTCGGACATTACCACACCCAGGTCCTTCACATTACTTTTCCTCTCTATTGTGTGATTGGAGTTTGTAGTATAAATCAGTTCTAGTTATTATTTCTCCAGTTTCCATAACGGAGTAGTTGGAATTTGTCTTCATTAAAACATATTTTTTCTTGTTGCCATTGGAAAAACTTGGTTTTATATCTTTTTGGAGCTTTCCCGGTCCTCAAGGGGAGGGATACTTCTATGCAGACCCCCGTTTTCGTTGCAAAGGATGATAAAGTGCTGTGGTTTACATCTCTGTCTATTTTCTGATATGAGAATAAGGAAAACGGGGATAGGGGGAGAGTACGTGCCTTGGGGGAAGAGTTTTCGCTAGGGGCAGCATCTGATTTAACTTTTGTTTCCCATACTCTTTGAGTGCATTGGTTAGAAAGTTGAAGACCCATCTGCCTACTTTGCCGGTTACCCCTTTACCCCGGGATTTTGTGTGCTTTTAAAAAGTCGAAATTTGGGAAAAGGGGTTTTTTGCAAAGTCTGTGTATTACTACATCCGCATTTTTTTGTTTTCCAGTGCATCTAGGGCCATATCATAGTGGTCAACCCAGTTGAAAAAAGGCCCGGAGGCCCTGCTCTAAAACCCATGTTCCCCCGGGTTTGTGCAATTTTTGGGATTTCCGGGGGGTTTGTATCCTGTTTCCCTTAGAACTTTTTCAAAGTTTTTTATGTTGTGGGACGTTAAACTTTTGGGGTCTAAAAAGTTTTGGCTATGCTTTGCTGCCCCCTTTTATGGAGTGGGGCTAAAATTCTGTTTTTTTTTAGTGCTGTGGAACCCGGGGCCTGTGTCTAAGCCCCTTTCTCCATAGCATATTGGGGCCCCGTGAGGGGGGTTTTTTGCATTTTTAAATGAACACAGATTTCCCAACGGGGGTCTGGGCCTGGGGGCGGGAGGCATGGGCATGTCGTCAGTGGTTTTCCCAAAAGTCTAGTGGGTTAAAGTTATGTCATAAATCGGGGCCTCCTTGGCGGGGTTTTTGGAGGCTCTTTATGAAAAATTGTTTGGATCATCTATTTTAAAAATGGTTTGTGGCTCGCTGAACATTTGAGTCATATGAAATTTCAGTATCTTCCCTCATTTCTTTGTTTTTCTTTCAGTGTGGAAAAATCCTTTGTCTGGCAGGGGCCCCTTACTAAAAGGGGTTTTTGATTTGGGTTTTTTGGGCCCGTATGAAAAGAAATATTTCAAATTTTTCTTTAAATTTCATTAATGGTTTTTTAGCCCCTCTTTTTTCTCCCCTGGATCCGGTAGGGAGCCTTAAACCCTTCAGTTTAATATTTTCCATTTCCCTGTTTTTGCACTACCTTCCTTTTATTTTTTTTAATCTGGCATTTTTGAGGAGCCATGGTTTTTCGTCTTCTCCTGTAGAGGGGAGGTCTCTCCCCTCCCCAGTTTACTTCTTTTCTTTTGTCTTATGGGAATATACCTTAAATTTATATTCAGTCCAGGGGGTTGATTTTTTTAGGCATTGGGGTTAGGGTCCATTTTAATTTAAGTTATCCCCCAGATGTTTTTTTAGGGCTATTTAAACCTGTTTTCCCAGTGATTTTTTCCTGTTGTTGAAGTTGAATTTGGTAAAGGACCCTCTAACTGCCGATCAGGACTCCTGTGCAGGGAAAGTCGGGGGACTCGTTTAAATTTGTGACCCAAAAATGTTTTGTTTTTTAAAATTTTAAATAGTAAAAATTTTGTCATAAGATTAGGCAATTTTTACGAAAGGGAAACACAGGTCCCAAATTTTGTTACATTTTTTTGGGGGGGGCAACGTTTCGCTCCATTTTACATTGTGTCCATTTACTTGGACACAGTTTTAATTTGGTTTTTGTCAATAATTCTATCATTATTCCCAAAATTTACATGGTAAACCCTTAAAAAGCTGAAAACCAGTCATAAAAACTTTTAAAACAACCAATTTGGTTTCTAAATTTAATAAAAAGAAAAAAATTTTTTTTTTGGCCTAGTGAAAATTAAAGCAATAAACGATCCCCTTTAAACCAAACTCCTTGTTACTCCCACCCCCTAAATCTCTCCCCCCATTTCCTCCCCCCCATCTACACCCCCTCCCGGGTTACGGGGGTTTTTACAAAAAGTAGCGTAAAATGCCTAATTTTCCAAGAAACCCAATTTTATTTTTTGGGGGCCCCGGGTTTACACTTTTCTACGTGCCCAAGCTGCGATCCAGTAAAACCGGGTTATGGTCTGGTACCCCATGGTTAAATTGTCAGCATCCCGACGACAGGTCGGGTTTCCCCCTGGTTCCTTGTAGCATCCCAGCGACAGGTTGTACTCCCTGGTTAAACTTGTCGCGGGGCAGAGGGCGGGGTTCTGGTATACCCGGGTTTTCACTTGTAGCAGGGACGGGAGGACAGGTTGGTACCCCCTGGTTCACTTGTCAGCTTTTGCCAAAACGACAGGTCGGGGTTACCCCCTGGTTCACTTGCCCCAGCATCCCGGGAAGCCCAAGTCTGGAAACACCCTAAATTCACTTGTCGAAGGCCAGAGGGAAGGTCTGGTACACCCTGGTTCCTTGTCAGCGGGCCGGGTGACATTTTTGGGTTTCCCCCCTGGTTCACTTTTTTCAGAGGGCCAAAATACCCCGGTTTCCTTGGTAATAACCTTGGTTCACTTGTCTGTATGGTCACTCGAAGCCCTTCCCTTTAAAGGCCAATTTCCCTCATCTTTTTTTTTTCCCCTCAATTTCCCCAAATTTCCCCAAACAATCCCTTTCCTCGACCTTTTCATTTCATTTTCCCCTCTGGCCCATTTTTTCACTTGTCAACTTCCACTGTCCCCGTAGTTCTTCTTCCTTAAAGGTATTATTTCCCCCACAAAATTCTCCTTGTATTCCATTTCTAAATTTTTAAACGTAAAGGGTCATATTACCCAATGGGTTTCAAAACGGGCACGGGCCCACGGTTCTTTTATTTTATAAAGACTCTTTGAAAAGGTTTCAGCTTCAGACGGTTCAAAATACGAAATCAAACCCTATATTAGGCACAGGGGACTGACTACTCAAACTATTTTACTATTTTTGGGGTGAGGGGATGATAAAAACCATCCTTCTCCCTCCATTTTTCTGGGGTCGGCGGGAGGTTTTGTAATAAAAATACCTTTTGTTTACATTTATTTCAAATATCTAAAAAGGGGCCCAAAAGCCGTAAATGTTTTAAGGGTTTGAAATTAAATTTCCCAAATGATTTGTTTACTGAGGGAAACCCTAAAAGATATGAAATTAAAAGAAAGTCCTCAAAAAAATTTCAAGTCCAGAAGTTACCCTTTTAACCTGTGATCCCCCAATTTAAAAATTTACCCGTTTTCAATACATAATGTAGGGTACAGGTGGCTTTCCCGGGGGGGGCTGGGGGCAGGGCCCGGGGGGCCCGGGGGCCGGGCCCGGGTGACGGGGGTTTCCCGGGTTTTACAAGTGGCAAGAGGGTGGGAGGGGTTTCCAGGGGGGATGGCCCATCCCGGGTGACAGGAGGCCCTTTTCCGGGTGAAGGGGGGCATGCCAAGGGGGAAATGGGGGGCCACGGGCCCGGGGGAAACCGGTGGCATTTGGGGGACAGGGGGACCCGGTGGGCAGGTGGGATCCAAGGGGGGGAAAAGGGGGAAAGGCCCCGGGTGAAAGGGGGAAAGCCCGGGTGAAAGGGGGCATGCCAGGACAGGTGGCTTCCAAGGGGGAGGGGCATGCCAAGGTGGAACCGGGTTTTGGAAGGTCAGGGGGACAGAAAGGAAACCAAGGTTGGGGTTTGGGATTCCCGGGGGACAGGGGCAAAGCGGGTGGGGGGGCTGGCAGGGAGGGGGGGACAAGGGGGGAATTTTCCGGTTGAAAGGTTTGGATGCCAGGGGGGTAAAAAGGGGGACTGGGGTGACAGGGGGCATGCCAGGGCTGGCATTGTGGGCATGCCCAAAAAGACAGGTGGATCCGGGTGAAAGGTGGCATGCCAAAAGGATTGTTTTGGCATGCCAGGTTTCAGGTTGGAAAACCAAGGGTTTAGGTGGCATGCAAGGGGGAAAAGGGGGATGCCGGGGCAGGGTTGGGGTTTCCAGGGTGAAAGGAAAGG